CTTATTTTTACTACAAGCTTTCGTCTGTTCCTACAGACATCTTCAGGTATGGAATAGATATTGTTTTTGTTTTTTCTCTTAGTAATAAGGGGACAACGAAAATGTATGTATTGTTGTATCCGAAAATGCTATTGGAAATGAGTTATTGTTTTTGGAGCGCGCAGTAGCAACGCTGAATTTGATTTTAAATTTTTTACAGTTGTGCGTTCATGTACAAATATGGTGATGAACGAATTTTTACTGGTAAATTTTCTGTCAAAGTGGCATGAACTATATTGTTCAATAATTACAGTAATGTCGCACTTATTATCCAAAAGTCGCACTTGGATCAGTTATTATAATTACGATAAATTGATTGCACGTTTATATATATATATATATATATACACACACACACACACACACACACACACACATATATATATATATATATATGTTAACATTATTATTAATTAATTAATTAATTAAACGCTGTTTTTAGTAGATAATCGTATTTAAGTAGAGGCTCCATTTATTTATTTATTAAACAGTATAGTATTTTATTTTGGTCTATCAACTTGAATACTCGAGAAACCTTATTAGAGTAAATATGCGCTCTCTGTCAAGATAAAAAAAAACCTGCATCTTCCTTGGCAGGGGAAACCATCGTTAGATTCTATGTGCATATACCGACTCAAGCTGTGAGTGTGTCGTCAATCAAACAAAGACAAATAGTGTCGGGGGAGCGTCTATTATTCTTTAACAAGATGTTTCAAATATTGAGGTCGGTAGACAAAAATAATTAAATATAATGTTTAAAAAATGAACGGGTCGTCTATTTAAATACTATCCACTAAAATAACGTATGAAAAGTATGTTGGATTAAAAAATAAAAAATCCGTCCCTATATAATACTAAAAAAGAAAAATCGTTGGCAAGACTTGAGTCAGGCCGATGCTTTGAATATATTTTTTTTTAGAAGTGCTCAATACGCAGTTCAGAAAAAAATGAATTTGTAGAGCTGGTAATAAAATCAACGCGATGTTCCATCTAGTAGTAACTGCCCCTGACGTGACCGTAAGGTCCAAACCCGGGTAGTGAGTTGCGCGTGGATTTTTCTATACTATATATATATATATATATATATATATATTCTAGTCTTATATTATATATATAAAACTATATATTTTTCTAGTCTTATATATATTTTTCTAGTCTTATATATATATATATATATATATATATATATATATATATATATTTCTCTTCTTATATCATATATATATATATTCTACTCTTATATTATATATAACTATAAATTTTTCTAGTCTTATATTATGTATATTTTTCTAGTCTTATATTATATATATATATGATGATAATATAGTTTTAAGTTATGCGAGTTTAAAGTAATCACTATCACGGATAGAGCATGTGTAAATATAAAAGTGGACGTTGGTGTAACACCCAGCGGCGACTATCTGTTTCATGTATGAAAGCAATCTTCGGTTCATGAGTGTTGTACGTTGGCTCGGCTATTTACATATGTTGGTTTGGTTTGGTTTGGTTTGGTTTCTTTTACGGCACGTCAACCATAATGTGTTATTTAATGCCGACAAGATTTTTATTGCTGGTAATATTCTTCCTTCAAAAATGTATTGTTAGAAATAGTTTTCCTTCAAAAATATATGACTGGTAATATTTTTTTCTTCAAAAATGTATTGTATTTCCTCAAACAATTTATTGCTGGTATTAAAACCTATTTGTACATTTTCATAGTGTTTTGTCTCCAGTTTGGGAGTTAACTATTTGTGCATATTTGGGACCCTAACAGGTGCTACTACCCCGAGTCAGGGTGGGCCTGGGAATAACTTAAAGAGTTTGTTCCCCGCTCCTCAAAACCTGATAAGAGGCCTTGCTGTCGGATGTAGTTTATCGTCTTACCCAGGACGCGGATTTTGTTTATCGTCATACCCAGGATGTAAATAGGCTGACCACTTGTACTTTATGGGTTGTAATGTCTATTGTATTAGACTGGTGGTTATTGAGTGGGCGTTAATGGTTATAATTCAGATTATTCTAGAGGTTATTGAGAAGATATAATTGTCGATCTGAATGTGGTTATTTGCAGCAATTTCATGGTATTTTTTTCTTAACATTTTACTCATTATTAATTATTACTTACACAATACAGTTGGCCTAAAGACCCATTTAAGCTGGGTCATCAGTTTATGTATGTATCAAACAGATTGTTGCAGCTGGATGTTAACTTCAATATCCAATTTTATATATCGATATACTGGGTAGCAATAAAGTCATTATACAGTTTCTTATAGTAATAAAAAAAGCAAAAAGATGATTTCCATGATCTTTACTTTCAATAGGATGGGGTATCAACACATCTTACTCTAAAATTAAGAAATTATCTTGATGCAACATTTCCAGGAAGATAGCTAATTCGACGTGGCACAGCTGTGTGGCCTTCTCGCTCACTAGATTTGACCCCGATGGATTTCGCTATATGGAGAATTATTCCGTTTTTTTGCAAAGAAACCGAGAACTATCCATGACCTCAAGCAATTTATTCGAGATGCATTTGAAGACTTAAACCCTCAGAACCATTTGTGTCGTGACATTTGTCGAAGGGTACTCTCACGCTGTAGGGAATCCATTGAAGCAGGTGGCTTGCAGTTCGAAAAGTATTTACCACGGCATTTTATTATTAACCAGAATTAACCGCAACCATTTTAATAATAATTTTCTTAATGATGATTAATTTCTTTTGTCTTAGTTGTTATTGTAACTGTATAGTGACTTTATTGCCCCCCTCTCTCTCTCTCTCTCTCTCTCTCTCTCTATATCTATATATATATATATATATATATATATATATATATATATATATATATATAAAATGTAGTTTTATGGATTTAAGTGCTCAGTTTCAGGGATAGTGAGTATGTAAATATAAAAAGTGTAGTAGATTATGTCTTTTTGCTATGCCTTCTAAATCTTGTTCTCCCATCCATTTACACAAACTCGTTAGGCAGGAGTTATGCGTTGTTCTCCTCTGTGCCTCTTACTTTGAGTATGTCATGTGAGTGTCAAATTTTGCAAGCCCTCTTTCCACTCTAAATGTCTTAAAATTTTCAACTCTCTGTTGTTGATGTTTGGCAAATTGTTAATTTTCATTCCATTTTCTCTAAAAGTTTGGCGTTGCTCACACGTTCAGACCATGTTATTTTCAGCAACCCTCTACAGAACCAAATTTCTGTCGTTTCTTCTTTATATGTGAGGAGATTATCTAGCAACCGTTGCTATATAAGAAGACGGATATCCCGTAACATTTCAGTATTCTTTTTTCGCTTTTTCTAACAAAAATTTCATGTTTCATAATATTTTGCTTAGCTTCTGAAGAAGTAAGTTCTATTCGGCCAGCTTTTCCCCAAGAAACTTTGTGGAACAGACTCTCGGCAGGATGATTTCCCAATCATTGCAGTCTTGACCTCTTCAAGTCTAGGGTTAACCGTTATCTTTCCTGCCTAACCCCATAATCTTCACTTCTTGTCTTTTCTTATGCTCAATTGTAGTTGTTTGATTATGGTACCACCTATATGTAATTTGCATGTTGGCTGTTCCGTTTGCTAACAACTATGCATTCTCTCTTCTTGAAATTAGTCAAACTTCGTTGTTTCTTCTAGCATTTCTTTACTACATTTTATAGCTTCTTCTTTGTGTCTACTATCAGCACTGTGTCATCTACATATCGTATGTTTTTAAGATTGTGGCCGCCAATAATGAATCCTGGTAAGAATTCTAATTCTCTCGCTGTATAGTTAGAATAAGTCCAAAGAGAAGACGCATCCTTGTCTCACACCCCTTTCTATTTTGTCTATTTACTGGATCTTTTTTATATTAGTATATGCTTGCAGTTTATCCCTAGTAAAGGTTCAGGATTATTCTAATATCATTCCACAATATGTCGTAATTATGTAGAAGTTCCAACAGTTCATTGTGATGTACTTTGTCAAACCATTTTAATCATAGCATATATAAAAACCACTAATATGGCGAGATAAGCTCAGAATTAAGGAAGCTATTTTAATGTTACAGAAACGAGAAGTTCTATATGCAACATCTCGTAAACAAACATTAATGCTAAGATAATCATTAAATGTAACATTTCACAAATGTAAATTATTTACTTCTGAACTCAACGACTACAATCAAAAGAGATTCAGTATTTAAAGAAGATAATACCATAAAAAAAACATTGATAATACAGGGTACGGCAGAAATAGCTCCCACATATAACTCCCGGAAATACTTCCCATAGAGTGGTAAGGCATTACTGGAAATGTTGACTTCATCTAGTTAATGTCTTACCATTATTTGAGAGGTATTTTTGGCAGGGATATGTGGGATATATTTCTGTCGCACCCTGTATTTATTAGAATAATGAATGTCATATTGCACGAGTACCATAATGCATTAGAGTTGTAGATACACCACATACACTGCTTCCGTAGCAGCAAAGGGTGTGTCTGGGGCAAAATAGACTAACGGAGTTCGTGACCCTTCAGTTTGGTTTTGGAGTCAAAGTTTTATTTTTCTTATACTGCTTGTCACCCAAGACTAACGAAGACAGTTTGGCTTATTATTTAACCCATAGTCGCAGAAAGAAAATAGCCAGAGTATTAGAGGTGAGCCTAATGAATTCGATTAAAATTCGAACACGATTCACTGACCGTTTTTTCCATACTGCAAGCCGTTAGACTAGATCGTCAAGCATTCACATCCATATAGAAGGATTGATATGAAATAACAGTTCGACATTCGTTTCTTTGTTTCTAATGAGATTGAACGTAAACAAGAAAATGCCAGAAAAATATTTGATATTTTATATTGATTGGTTTGTTTTTTATCGCTTTTTTTTGCACGTTATTTAAAGCCAGGAAATATTTTTCAGATTGTTAGAATAATTTGCATATTAATGATTTTCTGATACGAGTCCTAACACTTACGCCCACATCATGGTGATACACCGCTTCCCATACGATCACTGAAGTTAAGTAACTTCGAGCCTGGTTAGTACCAAGATGGGTGACCGCTTGGAAATACTAGGTGCTGTAAGCTTAGAAGTGAGCGTGGTGTAATGGATAATGGCTTGGAATTGTTAATCAGAGATCCGAGTTTCAATTCCAGTAGGGTTCGTTATATTCACTTACGTGCAAATACTATTGGGAAATGTATCAATCCTTCTCCCCCAGATGTGGGTTAATTAGTAAGACGCGTATCATTTTCATCATCTTCCCCCAAAATTCTTACAATTTAAAAAAATTCTGACGTTAAATAACCTGCAAGGAGCTGATAAACCTTAAAAAATAAACCAATCAAATAATGATATAAGTCCTACTAATTAACCCTTAGCAGGGGGAGAAGATCTGGAACCATACCCTTTCCAATATATTTGCGCCTAAGTGAATATAACGAATCCGGCAGTAATTGAGAACTCGGTTATACGATTTGCAATTCCGAGCCGTTATCAATTATAGCACCTACCCATTCAACCTTACAGCAACTGACACTCCCAAGCGGTCACCTATCGAGATATTGTCCAGTGTCGACATTGCATAACTTCGGTGATCACGCACGAACCGGTGTTTTAACGTGATATGTCTGTAAGCCTTGATAGTTTATAAGTACAAAGCTATTGATTCTACTGATAAGTATGTAGATAAATATTTTCGTAACCGTTCTCAAAATATATGGACGGATTGACGGATAAGAAACGAATCTAATAAATTCTTGCCTCGTCTTAAATAAACAAGGATATGGTTTCTCAACAAAATGCTGCGGGTTGAATTGCAAAGACGGCAACTGTAATGTGTTCCATGTAAATATGATATGTTAAAATAAACAAAAGCGGACAATTTCCTAATCAGAAAAGGAAATGATAACAATAAGAATCTAACATCAAAAAGATGAGGGGACCTGAAATAGATATGAATATTTGTGAAACTTGTGATATTCTTTTGAGGAAGCCATTCATTTGGTATTTAGCAATAAAATAATAATATTTCTACAGTCGAATATGGAAAGAGACGACCAGTGATGCAATATCTGCGTCGGTTTTGGGTGCCATGAGTTTTTAACGCAATCAACCCCCGTTATATTTGAAATTTTAAGGACAAAACACACCAAAGGATTCCCAGTAAAAAAAAAAAAAAGCGGCCAATTTATTATGTTATTAAAGATATTATGGCTTTAAATAACCTGTAATAGATTGATAAGCCGTAAAAAACAAATCTAAAATCAATCTAGAATTTTAATAACATTGAAAGTTTTTTTTCCCCGGAAACATGCCAAGTGAACGACAGAAAAAAAAAAGCGGCAAATTTATTATTTCTGTTTTATCTTACTGGAATAATTGACCTTGAATAAATTTCTTGAATATCCATGACCTTGAAAAAACATTCGACTCCCGCGTAAATACTTAACCCTGATTGCTTCTTTAATGATTGATTAATTACTGTTCGATCTTGCGACTCGTCATTTAGAGTTTTTTTGCAGACAACTTTCGTGTTTCGTTCTACCTTTCTCTTATGGCTAAACAACTCAGTACATTTGAGCGCCAAGTGATCGTACTTTTCAAAGAAGAATATCCAACATGGCGATTGATGAAATGTGCAGGAATTCTTCCTGAATTTTCCACTCGCATCAGTCATCACCAGTTTTCAACGGTTGCCTGACGTCTTTCTGAATTTCTCTTTTTTTTACTGGGCAATTTTTTTTTTTTTCATTCGTCATTTTGCGTTGTGTTTTTTTTGTATTCTCTAATGTTTAGTTAGGATTGTGCTTGTGTCTTCTTCAATTCTATGAAAATATTGATGCTGGGCTTTTCGTTTTTCATGCTTAATGCTTTTAATATATTCAGTTGATTCATATTTCCCTTGGAAAATCGGTGGTAATGTAATATTTCCATTGTTTTGGGATGACATAGTTTCCGAGCGAATTCAAAATCCACATATTTGAAAAACGTTGAACAAAACACGCCATATCAGTTATTTTTTATATCTTGCGTCATTATACGCAGAATGAGGCAGAATGAAATCATCCTAAGAGTAAGTGTCATTTGTCATTTTATATTGGGGCAGTACAAAAGTTCTATCCACGAAAGAGCTATTCTGTTCCACTATATTCTGCTATCTTAAAACCGGCGCCATATTTGCACCCTCCCTGATTTTTTACAGGCTTTCAGCGAAGTGAAGTTTTTTTTTTCCATTGAAGTTCTTTTCATTACTCACCTATTGGTTGCTGTTCAATATTTTTGTTCCTTTCCCGAAGTAAAAGAGCAAAACATCACGAAAATGCACGCCATTTTAATCTATATATAACGTTAAAACATTTAAAATTAACAATCTGGAGACAAATCGTATATAACATAATCGTTGAAACTATCAACACCTGGCCGCTCGTATTCAAGAATAGCCGTCTAATAGTATGGCTAACCAATCCCTATTTGTTGAGAGGTTCTCCCCTTTTTACACAAATGGACACACCCAAGGTATACATATAATACTGCTAGCGAACGAGAAAGAAGAAAGAACGACGAACGAGCACGAACCACAGTGAGCAAGTACGTAGACTCAGTAAGAAGTCATACAGTGATAAGTCGATACCAAAGACTGTATATATATTTTGCTACTAACCCGCATTCCTGGAACTACTAACCTGCATTACCAGTTTGCATTATTACATTAATACATTTATTTTCCTATATTCCTTCTTTGCGTTTGTTATTTATTAGTACCAGATTTCATCCCGGAATCCAGAACAGGAAACGCTGTTACAAAAGCTAGAATACTTGTGTTTTGATTGGTCAGTCGAGAGTCAGTAGTTCACTTTTGAACAGACTGATCGGTTCAACTCTCTGTCTTCGGACGGAGAGGAATCCGAAGGAGGCTACGCCGAAGGGCGGAGTCTCCAAGGGAGAGGTAAAATCGGCCCTGAACCCGTTTATATGGGTTCAAACAGGCATATTTTTAGGCCGAGCCCACGGGCTAGGGAATCCCAATAAAAAACCGACCTTGTGTCACATGTTGCCCCAGTGGGGAGACTCAATATCGTCAGTCGAGCTTTTGTAACAGCGTTTCTTATTACGGAGGATCGTTAATTAATTTCAAACTTTAAAACCATTTATTTTAAATTCAACATCATCACTTGATAAGACACCGGACGTGTTGAAAAAAAAAAAATGGCTATTTTTGTAGTGATTTTATAATATATTTATGTTATAATTTTTAAATAAATGATTATATATATATATATATATATATATATATATATATATATATATATATATATATATATATATATATATATATATATATATATATATATATATATATATATATATATATATATATATATATATATGGTGTATCAATAACAATTCTACAAAATTTGGAGGTGGGTTTCTAACACCCAAACAAAGTAAAATGTCCATATAAACATATGTCCAAAAGGCCGTTGTTCCAGCAAATGTTCAAAATGTCCCCCACTTATTTCTACACACGCATGCACCCGTCTTTTAATTGACTGACGGAACCTTTCAAATACTCCCACACAAGTGTCAAATGGTTTCCCATGCCCCTATGACACGTTGGTGAAGCATCTCTGCATTATTAATGTCTGATACATAAGCCAATTGTTTGAGGTGGCCCCACAGCTAAAAATATCAAGGATAGAGTTTGAGGAAACGTGCAGGCCGTGAAACCGGTCCTCCCCTATCTATCAATCTTTCATGGTGGATATCAGCCAGTGCCTCGCGAATAATGTGATTAAAATGTGCTGGAGCCCCATCATACATGAACCACATACGTCTTAGTATTAGCAGGAGTACATCCTCTAGCAAGCCTGGAAGTGTGTTCGAAATAAAGTCCCACTAGACAGCTCCAGTAAGACATGCTGAGAAATTATTCGTAAACTCATGCTGGTGTCTAGCCTGTATTGTACCATGGGTATGTCGATCCGCCTACATATGTTAGCTGTGTAACTTTGTTATTCCATCTCTTCCAAATGTTGTCTCATTCGTAAACAAGACTGAAGGGCCAAACATCGGATCGGCAGTTTTTGCAATAAACCATCGACAAAATTTCTCCTGTAATCAGAGGGTGAAAAACCTTTCTTGAAGCTCTTGAAATATTATCCATGCGCTACTATTAAATATACAACATGCTAGGGCCACTTAGCGTGTGCTGGTAACTGGATCGTCCCGGACAGCCTGTAGAATGTATTCTTCCTGATCAGGCGTACGAGCAGATTTCGGTCTTCCTCGATCCATAGTACGTGGTGCCACAGATCCTGTCTCCACAACGCGAAGATAAACAGCAGCAAAGGTTGGATGATTTGGCTGCCTTCGGTTCAGAAAAGCAATCTGATACAGCCGTGCGGCATCGCGTCCATTACTATTCGCACGGTCGTATGTAAAAATCATATTTGCCTGCTCATGATATGAATATCCAACCATTGTTAAACGGAACAATTCTCAATTAACGCACTACTACACATGTTAAATGTTGAAGACAAACTAGCCACCAATGTACACGAAGAAGAAATGTAACTTGTCTTTATGGTAACTCAGCGTGTTCTACCGTAAATTTTCTTTAAACTTCACAACTGAAAAAGGTAGAATTGCGGATATGTGTTTATATGGATTTTTTGTCCTTGCTGTGGTGTGAGGAACCCACTCCAAAAAGTTTGTAAAATATTTTAATAAACCCCCATATATATATATATATATATATATATATATATATATATATATATATATATATATATATATTTCTTGAAAATGAAACAGGACTAAGAACTTTAATTTTATAATTGAATTTTTACTTTTTAGTTTCTGATTTTGAAAACATGGTAATTCCTGTGTAGCGATGGAACCATATTTTTCAATTAGTAAATTATATATATATATATTCAGGCCTGAAGACTGGGTTTTACGATAAATTACATGCGGCAGCAAGGCCTCTTATTTGCTGTTGTTCCCGGGTCCACACTGACCCGGACTGGTAGCACCTTTTAACGTCCCAGCTATGGGTAAATAGTAACCCCGAACTGGCGTCA